TCATTGACAATGGCAATAAAACTGATTCGGATTAAAAAACACATAACTGTATGGTTATGTAAACAAAGGCCCAATTGAACGTTTTGACATTTAAGTAAACAAAAACTATAACAACTTCCTCTACTACAGGAATCTACAGCAGGAGTGTCAAACTCAGCTACACAAAAGGGTAAAAATTAAAAACTTGGTCCAACCTCAGGACTGTTTTCTGTCAATTTAATGTTACGAATGACATTTTACAGATCATATTTTATTTAATTTTCAGGACAGACATAACCTAATGAATAAAGAAAAAGAATTAAACTTAAAAAGACACATTATTATCATTCCTTTCTTGTTTTACTCCATCATCAACTTTTTCATTTATTTTTTAGACACATTTTGTCACAATTCAGCAAATCAGTTGGAAAAAAAAAAGAAAAACCTCCCTAAAAATCAAATTATTTGACTTTAAAATAACTAATAATAATGAAATAAACAGTACTTTCTGAATTAAACGTAATCAGGACTCCAACTCTTATAAAATATCAGTTATGTAATGAATATAAAACCATTTTCCAATAATTGAAAACAATTGGTTTTGCTGCTTTCTGTGCCCTAAGGGTTAATGTTCCAGGGAGGAGNAAAATGTCACCATAAGTCCAAACGTTGACACCAGTCAGATTATATACAGAGGCATATGTTCTGAATATAAAGAAAACCATCACTTCCTTGTCATTACTCTTCTTCAGATAGAGTTGGTGATGTTTCAAACTGTTAAACACTGCCACCAACTGTTCAGGAGGATTATTACACCCCTAAAGATTGTTTTGCGGTGGAAGGGGTGTGTACAGCAGGGTGGCCAAAGATTTGTCTGTGGTGGCCCTGGCCACCTCTGGCCACCCACTGGCTCCGCCCCTGGCTGTAACTCACACCGGTTCATGTATGTAACATGTTCGGTCAGAGGCGTCAGCAGGGACTCGGAGGCTGATCCCAGAGCAGCCTGATCTGCTCAGCGTTGTATATCAGCTGCTAAGTTTAGCCTCTTTTGTGTCAGAGAGGAATCTGACAGAGACGCTTCAGAGATTTCCCAGGCTGGTGAAAGGTTAAACAGGAGGATTTCACACATTTAGACACACATCAGAGGTTTCATTACAGCATTATCCAGACATCTGAAACTTTAAGAGCTGATGAACAAACTAGATATGAGAAGTAGAGAAACAGCAGAAAAGGCAGTGTGAATGCTAAGTGCTGACTGATGTTGCTTAAATTTGCTAGAACTGAAACTGAGTGTTTAAAAGAGAAACAAGTTCTTAAAAAAAATCAAACACTAAGGTAAATCAGATGAAAACCAAATTAGATGAAAAATGTAACAAAACAATAAGTAAAAGTAGCAAAACAGTTGCTAAAGCTAAAAATAGTCAAACAGATGATTAAGTTAAAAGCAGCAGAAGTTTGCTAAATGGTAGCCAAAATCTAAAATTAGCCAAATAATAGGTAAAAAGTAATGGCAGCAGTGTATTTGTACTGTTGGGACAGTAGCTGCATTTCCATTGACCATGAAAATGCGCAAATTAGAATTCCGAAAATAAATTTGCTCAATGGAAACACGCCAATTTTTAATTTCTTTTTTATTTTTCGACAAAATGGTTTTGCGCTAGGAAAAGGTAGTTTTTCGGCTGTATCGAAATTGATGTATTTCGCAAAACTGCAATGGAAACACTTTTTTCGCATCACGGGAGTCACGTGATCAAGAACCAGCTGTTTCTACTGGCAAAAAAGATGAAGAAGAAGAAAACAGGAAGTAGAAGTAGTAATGAAATCACCGAAGTAGTAAAAGAAAGTATTAAACTCACCAAAAATGCAACATAGCCACTTGCAAGTTTAAGGGGCTTGTCGCTGGAAAGCCTCGATAAGACGCCGACGTCTCCTCTGATGACGAGCGCTAATACCATGGTAGCAACATGCTATGTGTTTATATCCATTGTCGCCATGATTGTGATGACTTATCGCGAAAACAAGCGTATTCACGCATGACTTTAATAGCGTTTCTTACTTAATGGAAACACTGCAATTGCGAAACTGTGTTTTTTTGACATTAACAGAATATCGACAAAGTTTTGCGCACATTTCCAATGGAAATGCAGCCAGTGTCTCAACTGCAAATGGTGTGGCCCACGGAGGCCACACAGTAGGCTGCATAAAGCAGTGTAAACACGCAAATGTTCGTCTTCAGATGATATGTTGCGTGATCACACACTACCCCGTTAAAAATGTGAATCTATGTTTCCTTAGTGTTCATGTGTTTGTTTTACAAGGAAGATACGATTTCAAAACTTCACAACATTTCTACAGCTCCCCACTTCAAAACAGCTCAAACCTGTCTTTAAAATACTGATAAAACTGTCCTCAGAAGGAAGAGTTTCTTATTTGTTCACACCGAGTCCAGCTGACTATCAGAAATGTCAAATCACACACACACTGACCCAGTCATTTGTTTCAGGTCAGCACTGAGCTGTGTACCTTGCTGACCTTCAGGTCAAAGGTCATGTTTACTGGGACCAAAGGGTAAAGCAGGAAGGGAGGGTGAAGCCTGTCAGCTTGGTGTGAAATGAGGCGTGAGGCCGAAAACAGCTCGACTCTCAGAGCAGAGCGTTATTTAAACAGCTTCATCACTGAACATTAAAGGTCAGCTCTGGAATAATGACAAACAGAATCACATTAATCCTTTTACAAGAAGCCAATAAAGAAACAAATGGCTCTTTTAAAAGGTTTTATATCAATGAGGTCATGCAGTAACAGACAAAATGAGTTATTAGAAATTAAACTTCACAGCTAAACAATTTAAAACGTATTTATTGACCGCTGCTGAAAGACAAAGGTGAACTTTATTGTTTCTGCCTGTTTTCTGTGTCAGTCTGTTAGCAAAACGTCTTATGGATTTTAATGAAACTTTCAGGAAACAATCATTGAATAAACATTTACAATTTATTATCTTTTAGATTCAATTTGATTCAAGGAGGTCACCACAGCCAACGGACCTTTAAAACACAAAATAGGTTACATTTCAGTCAGTTAAATATTTTTATTGATCTAAAATTGGATGAAGACTTCTCCCCAACAACATCCTCCCAACCCATTTCAACATGGCCACTGCTGCTAATCAACCTTAGCCAATTACAAAAATATTTGAAGCTCTGATGGGTCACGTAAAATGCGGTGGCGGGCCACAATAGGCCAGCAGGCCTGGAGTTTGAAACAGGTTCTAAGTGCTAGTCATTGCACAGGATCTTTGCTTCAAACTTTAAAACTGTGGATGTGAACCTTGTTTGTCAGCAAAAAATCATATGAGGCAATACAGCATATATATTTTCACAAAACTTGCAAAAATCAATCATCAAATCTGCATCTGATTAACTTCTGGAGTCAGTATAAATAAAGATGGCCACCACAACGATTCAATTCAACTCAAGCTTCATTAAGGACAGAATCCTGGTCCATATTATAAAAAAACTTAAAAAAAACTAACTGCATAGTCATCATATAACTAGCTAACTCAGTCAGTTCAGCTGAATTTTAATGCGGTAGTAGCTGAGAGTTATCAATTATTTAGAAAGTCTGACTAAAACCTCTAGAACTCAACAGGAGATCTTAGTTGAAAACTGGCATTAAAAGCGGTGGATAACATGCATTTTTGGTCGTCTTCTTATTTTCTGTTTAATGGCGGATGACAAACAATGAAACTGGTGCGTTACCGCCACCGACTGGTATGGAGTGTGGACCAGAACGTCCCTCAAGGATTAAACTCTATTGTACAACTGTGTTAATTTAAGATATCAAAATATTATGATTAATTTTACTTTGAGTTACTTCTAAATAATTTAACTAAATCTAGTTTAACTTTACTTCTATTTAAACGTTGAATTGTTGCCTTTCTTCCTCATAATTTTGACAATGTAATACATGCTCTGTTGTGTCATCAGCTCTACAGTTGTCACACACACACCACTACAGTGTTCCCCTAAAATAGAGTGCAGTTTAGCCCAGTGTGCCCAAACCTGAGGTGAGAACTAATAGTTTCCTGTCCTCCCTGTACTTCTCATTTCTCCATTCTTCCTTTGTATCTTACAGAACCAACGTCCTTTCTTTTCTTTCTCCCATTGCTCTTGCCATTTATCCTTCATTTTATGTTTAATTAAATTTTATTTCTGATTCACTAAAATTAACAACCAAGTCGACTGATGAGTTTTTAACAGCTTCCTTTGCTGCTCTGTCGTTTCATTTCCTTTAACGCCATAATGAGCTGGTATCCATAAAAAGTTAACCGTTAATCCCATCATGTTTATTCTATGTAATGTTTGTTGAGTTTCTATGAAAATATCTGGCCTGCTTTCTGAATGGTTACATTGTGAACTGACCAGGGATGAGCTAGAATTTGAACAAACCACTGACTTTAATGGTTTTATTTTTTCAACCCAATGAATAGATAATAACATAAGTATTTCCCCTGTGTTACTGAAAGTTCATCATTAATTCTTGTCATAATTTCATTTTAATTCTGGTACAATGAAAGCTACTCCAACTCTATTTAATGTCTTTTTAGATGCATCTGTGTAAATTTGAACATAACTATGTAAATTTGTATTTTTGGTCTTTTTTCTGATCACCTATTCATCACCTGCACACAGGCTCCGCCCACCTGTTCCTGCTGCCTCTCAGCTCCGCCCAGCTGGGACGCAGCTCACGTTAAAGCCAACAAACATCGTGAAAATATGAAAAGTTTACATGAAACCATCGGACCGGACCGGACCGGACCGGACCGGATGATGGACCTTCACCCGGAGCGGTGCCGGTCCGGGAGGCAGACAGGTAACCCGGCTGACAGAGCTGCGAGCCGGGGCAGACTCAGCAACATGGTCCCGGTCCAGTTTAGCTTCTGGTCGGAGCCAGGAGGACGGAGAAAAGATTAAAAAAAAAAAAAAAAAAAGGCAGCAGAAAGAGGTGAAACGTTTGTTCAGTACCTGATTGGGTTCAGATCCAAACGACCCGAGGCGATCCGGGATCCTGCTCCGGACTCCGAACCGGGACAGACCCGGGGGGGTCAGCAGGGGATTTTCATTAGCAGGATTTTAATTTAAAGAGCCAGCAGTCCAGTGATCATAAGACTGTATAAACATTCACATTTCTTATTTCTGCACGGCTTTTGTAAATTTTCTGTTTTATTTTAATATTAAAATGTTTTAATAGCCTATTATTATTAAAATGTCTTAATATTAAAAATTTCCACTCATCAGGGGATGAATATTTGTTTGTAACTCCAATTCTACAAAAACAAACAAAAAACAAACAAAAAAGAGATAACTTTATTTCCAAATCATGTCCTCTAAAAACTGATTTCTTCAGTTTCTTCAAACACAGTACATGCTATTTCTCCCTCAGCTACTTTTAGTTTTATCTTTTTTATAGTTAAGCTGTGCTTTTTGTTAATTCTGTAAACCTCTTTGGTTCCTCAAGCTTTAAGTTTTTTTTGCACCTTTTGCTAAAAGTTGGCTTGTTGCGAGTTGTAGTACAACTTTATTACTGTACTTGAGTAGAAATGAAGGTTATTGATTGAGTAATTATTTTTCAGTTGACTTTACTTCTACTCCTTACATTTTCACAGTTATCTGTACTTTCTTTTATATTTTTTTAAAAATGCAAGATGTAGAAAGTTGTTTTATTTCCTTTTTGCTTAGTTTCATTCCAGCATGTTATTGTAAAAAATATATATTATCCATACAAATTGTGCCTCCTTGATAGAGTGAATTTCATTGTGGTTGAATGAGATTTATATAAATCTATACAATTCTGACACTGTACCAGTTTGTACACAAATCATAGCAGGAAAAAGACATATATATATA